CTGCAAGAAAACCACCAAGCTCAGAGAGCACCAGAGACCCCCCCACACACACACAGATTAATCTTGAGCTACAGATATTGGTACAGGTAAAGTCCTCGATTTAACGACCACAATAGAGCACACTTCTGTGGCTAAGCTAGACAGTTAAGCGAGTTTTGCCCCATTTTATGACCTTTCTCGCCACAGTGGTTAAGGGAATCACTGCATTTGTTAAATTAGTAAATGAATCTGGCTTCCTCGTTGACGGAGAGGAGAAAATGTGATCACATGAGCCCGGAACATTGCGACCGTCATAAATATGAGTCAATTTGCCAACTGTCAAAATTTTGATCACATGACCATGGGGTCATAAGTGTGAAAAATTGTCATAAATCACTTTTTTCAGCGCAGTTGTCACTTCAGTCATTAAATGAATGGTTAGAAGCCAAGGACCCACCTGTACCATCCTAGAATCCCCATTCACCTGTCTCTCCTACACTGCTTTTTCTACCTTTTTATTCCAACAAAATTAGGCTTCATTCCTATCGCAGCATTACACTCAGGAAATGATCAACGTCCAAGTTCTGCTCAGAAATGGCCCCACCCTCCATCCCAAGGAACCAAACAGAATTTCTTGCTGTCTCAGAAAGTCTGTCTTATCCTGTTATTTATGTTCTCTAAGATCATCAAAAACGCTCTCCCAGAATTTCATCTGTGGGATACACATGAGCGACTTTCTGTTGCTGTGGCTAATGCACTGGAACCATCTTAGCCTCCCTGGGTTCTTTTAATGCTCTTCTATGGTCAATCAATTTTTCCTATCAAAGCTATTTTCCAGATTTTCTGTATCCAGTGACAAAGTGCTTGGTTTGCAAAAAGGACAATGTTGTCATTTACTCTCAACAAGAGGACCAAGAATGTTACTTTCCGAAGGTCCTGGTCTATAAATCATCCTCTAGCGGTAGATTCTATAAATTGGAATTTGGCATATTGTGGGTGATTGGGCATGAAGCCAGCTGGTGTGACCTTGAACCAGGCACTTTCTCTCAGTCCTAGGAAGGAAACAATGGCCAACCACTCCTGAAAAACCTTGCCAAGAAAATTGCAGGGACTTATCCAGGCAGTCCTCGAAAATCAGACACGATTGAACAGAAGGGAAGATGATGAATGAAGGGAGTGGCCTGAACTTTGTACACACACACAAAAGTGAAACAGGGCACAACTGGAACCCATCTTTCAGCACGTTTCTTCCTTCTTTTCCAAATCTGCTTGATACTGAAGGGATCCTTTTGCAAGAATGCAACATAGTCCAGGAGGCATTGAGAGATCTAACTTCAAGTCCTCATTTGAATACAAAATCAAATGGATGATGTTGGTCGTAAGTGTGAAAAATGTTATTTCGTTGCTGTTACAACTTCAAAAGGTCATTAAGTGAACTGTTTGTAAGCGGAGGTCTACCTGTACTGGGGAGAAGTACTGTTACAGTTGTAAGTCACTTTTCGGCTGCCGACATAATCTCCAAACACGGATCCAACTGTTTAAAATGGGTTTATTTGCAATAAAACAATTTTAAAAAACAATCGTGTGAGGACAGTTGGGTGAGCTAAAAAAGGAGTAGGCCTAGAAAAACAATGCAAGCAGTTCACACTTGAATGCAACTGAAGTTAATTTACATGCTGTTGGGTAAGGTATGTTCAGTAAATCAGTAGTTGCAAAAGAATTTTGAACCTGCACTTTGGAACTTCGTTTCCCACCCAATGCTCAAGACAATTAACAATTTCTTTACATATAAATAAGTTAGGCAGGCAAGAATCATGACCCCCTCACTAAAAGACCCATCACTGTGAGACATCCTTCTCAGACTAAAGCTGGCCTGTGTTTATTTTCTTTTGTAGGCTCTGTTCATCTGTTTATTTTCCTGTCTTCTCCAGCTTGAATGCTGGTCCTGTTTTTGATCTCGTATGGGTTTCCCAGCAGATCTAATTGTTTTGCTAAAAGATGTCATTAACGGGTTTTGTGGATTTTTGGAAACATTTTGATATTTGGACTATCAACTGAAAAGGTGGAATAAAAAAAAGGAACAAGCTAAACTTAATTTGGGTTGGAGGGTGAGATCTTTAGCCTTCTTTTATGTTCCAAAAGAAATACTCTTTTTCCCCCCCTTCCCCAAAAGGTTCCCTTTGTTCTTTGCACAGGGAAATATTCCTTCCCATTTCTCCAAGACAGATGAGTTTGGACTCCATTGATCCACTTTTCATTAGACGCGATGTATCTGGATAGAGTGTACACTGCAAATTATCACAATTTGTTTTGATCCAAAAATACACATTTATTTTAAATGCAACACAAAATATACACTGAAACCATGGAAACAGCACACCAGATATAAAGTGGAGGCATCCCTACACATCATCGCTTGGCTATTCTGCAATCCCAGCTATCTTCTAGGAAAAGGCTGGCCTGCTAAAGGCAGGCAGACATCGGAAAACCACTACGGTTAATAAAAAAATAAATAAAAAAGCACCTTCAAAACCCTTCGACTGAATTCATCCTGAAGTGCCTGATAAAGCTGGACTCGAGCAATGCCTTGAGGGAGGGACCTTAAACCACCCAAGGTTCAACAAAGCGAGCGCAGGAGGTGGTCACTGGTGAGAGACGCCCTGATCAAAGGAGTTACTTTCCAGCTGAATGATCTGGAAATCCACAGCTCTGCAAGAAAATGAAACGTAAATGCACGCCACTTTCAGGGCCAGAGGGCACCAGAGCAACATAAAACATGAAACCAGAGTTAACAGCGAAAACAATGGCCAGCAGAATCTGATAGATCTTGGATGGAGCCACGGTTGAGAAGCAGGGAGCAATGCAACTGAACCCACAAGAAAGCAATGAGCATTCCCACCCTGGGTTCTGGAGAAAAACCAACAGATATTTAAGCAAGAGATGGATGTACATTAGACAAATTTACATGCTTTGCAAAAATTTGTTCTGCTTTTCCAGAACAAGCAAGGTGACAAACTTTACTGAACATTTTAAAAATAAGCTGGAACTTAAAACAAATACTGTACTCTGGCACTCAAGCGCATGGTTTCCATTTTATACAGGAGCCCTAGGAATTTGAATCTTAAACAGCATTACCCCCCCCCCAAAAAAAACACCCTACAGTCAGATGATCAAGCTGAATTCTACATTCAGTCCTGTAAGATGCTTCTTGCAGCTTTTTCAGGACTAAATACACACCTTCCTGTTTATACCCAGAAATGCACTTGAGAGGAATGGATAATGATCACTGTGTGTTACAATATTAGAAGGTCTGATCAAACTAAGGAGAGGCAGATTCAATTTAATGACTAAACAGTTGCAAGAAGCACATCTGAAGAAATCACCGTCCCAAAGAGAGGACCTCCAAGCATTTGGGGAAGGATGGCTACTTACCGAAGCTCACTACGCAATGATTCCCTCTGACTTCTCAACACTTGTAACAGAGGGTCGTCTTCAAATTCCAAGCCATCTGAGTCTACAAAAAGAAAAATAGCATCTCTGTTATTTAACCATCTCTTTTATTTTAAGCCACTTCTGTTAAATTCCACCACTCATTGTCCCAATTAAAGCCAAGCCATATTTCTATTCCTAGGACTCCCATTGTATCCTTTAAGCCCAATTTCTTAGGATCTTTTTTTCACTCCCTCACAAACACAGAATTCTTCAACTGATGTAGCCTTCCTTCTCCTCCCCTCCCTCTGTCCAGATCTCAGAAACCTTTCTTAATTGAACTTGACCGGTGCCTTTGGCTCTGTTCCCATCTGCACTGGAGAGCAAGGGAATGACACATGCTGAAAGGGTTCCTATTAAAATAACCATGGAGCAGCATCCAGCCACTACGTTTGGAGCTTTCAAGTGCTTCCCACTTGGATCAGGCCTATGCCAACTAGTAATGCAGTCAGGTTGCGGAGCAAGCCAGCAAAATAAAACTTACATGCTACAGCTATGCAACATGACACAGTTCGTTTGTATCATGCCTCTTTCATGTGTTCATCATCTCATCTCCAACTAGATTCTTATTTCTTTCCAAGTATGATGAACTTAAAGTTGTGGAATTCAAATTAAATTCACCCCTTGCCCAAGAGAAGCACTGCAGAGGGATCACACACTAGTCCCATGCTCGGGGACAACCAACAATCAGAACATTGACCCACATCCCAGCTTCATGGAAAAAAACTCCCCAAGTGGGAAAAATAACTTTGCACTAAGAAATGCACAGCAAAATGCAGTGTGATCCCCCTTCTCAAAATTGCTGGTGTGACGAAGATCCCCATGATATTCAAGCCACCTGTCCTGTCCCCGCGGATTCTACTACCTTCAGCCTGCTCCAGCAGTTGAGCAGCCATGTTCAGAAGTTGGGGATGGGAGGGGGTGACAACGTTCTTTGGAATAGCCTCCTCTGGACCCAAAGTCCTTGAGCTTCTCTTTGGTTTGTCCTGAGGAACAGCTGGAGAGTCAGGTGGGGAGAAAAGCCTTTCGGCAACTACCTGGGCAAAGACAGGAAAAAAGAAAGGCCATTCAAACTGCCTTCTGTTCTCAGGACCTTAGTAGGAAAGTAGGCTAAAGCCGACCTGCTTAATGCTCTTATGAATCCCGTGCCTTCCTCTCAAAGGTAAACAACTGTGTTTCTGCGGGATCAGGCCAAGAGACCAGCTAGATGAGTCCAGTGCTCTTGTGTCTAATGAATCTAATGGATTTAAGGCCCCAAGATTGGAGAAGAGGGGAAGTTAACTTCTTTCCTCGGAATATAATTTTAAGTCATTGTTCCCAAAAGAAAATCCAATGACATGGGATCTTTACAATTCAGTATTGTTCAGTTGGCCATCCTGATGATCCCAAGAAGACACGGCTACTTTAAAAACATGTATGCAGTGCACCACGAAGGCCTGTGAATTCCAAAATATCTTTTGAAACTGAAGCACTACAGTTCTATTTAGGAGGTGGCACAGTGGTTAGAATGCAGTGTTGCAGGGAAACTCGGCCTATAGCCAGGAGTTCGATCCTAACTGGCTCAAGGTTGACTCAGCCTTCCATCCTTCCGAGGTGGGTAAAATGAGGACCCAGATTGTTGGGGGCAAGAGGCTGACATTGTAAACCACACAGAGAGTGCTATGAAGCACTATGGGGCGATATATACCGGTAAATCTAAACGCTATTGCTCTTGTTAATGACACTGAACTGTCAGGCAGATGGATGGATTAGGGCTTGTACCTCTGATAGTACGTGTTGAACTGGATGCTTTGTGGGGCTGCGTGTTGGCTGTCTGGGGTCGGGAATTGGTTTTGCTTGTCTCTGTTTGACTCTGCACAGCCCTGGTCTGCTGCTGAGTTCCAGGTGCCTTCCCTGGTCAGATGGAGCTGCCTGTTGAACATGACGTGAAGTTGTTTGGCCCAAAGACTCATTGGCTTTTGCAGGTCTTGAAGGAGAAGTTTCCAGGTAATCAGGAAGGTGATCTTTTTGTGGGGTTGGATCCTTCACAATGGGCTCATCTCTGCATTCAGGGCCTCTAGTTACCACTATCCCATTCCCGGAGGGAATAGTTAAAATAAGCTGCCCAGAAGTGACTCCAGTCCTCGGCATGCCTGCACAGGAGCAAGGATGGCACTGACTCTGGGTATATTTAATATCTAAGTGGGGCTCGGAAGTTGACAACACTTTTTGGTCTTCGTCCCTCCGAGGGGTGGGCTCAGCTGACTTCAGAACTTCTCTTTCCATCTGCAAGGAGGAATAAAAAATATTTAAGAGCATTTCTGGCCTTCTGTTCCTAGCACGAAATGAAGAAGCAGCACAGCTGTTGTCTCCTACGTTACATTGATACTGAATTTTACTACACAAGAAAGCTAAATACTACTGTGATGTAATAGCCGTAAGCCATTTTAACTAATAAATGTCTTCACTGGCTCATACAGAAGTCATTTTACCAACGTATGCATTACTTGAAATAAACATCTGGTTAATTTTGAACCAAAGCCACAGATATCTTATATGCCTCTTTTGCCACGAAATTACACAAAAATGGTTTAAGGTTTAAGGTTTATTGTATTTATATGCCGCCCTATTCCCTGAGGGACTCAGGGCGGCTAACAAACCCAACGGGGGTGGGGGGTAGACAAGAAGGAAATACAACAAACAAGGTACAAAGAGAATTTAAAAAGACAATCAACAGTCACACGATTCGAGAGGGGAAGGGAACTCGTGAATGAAAGAAAGCAGTCCACAAGTTATCA